TTGCTGTAACTGAGAAAATGAAACAATATTTCCTAGTAAAGCTAGGTATATTTAAAACACTTGCTAAGTGATAAAGTAAGACTATTTAGCTGCTTCATATCATATGTGCCCCTCAGCAATAACAACTACCTTAGCTTCATTGCCATCATTGACCTGGTTTTATCTTCTCTTCACTTCTTAGACCCTGTAAAGTAGTACAAATATGAAGACCACACCTTGGTATCTAATTCCCAAGAGTCATAATCGAAGTAAACAAATCAATACAAAACATACCTGAAGCACCAACAATAACCTTCTGCTTCTTTGGCTCTGCCTGTCAGGCTGGTCAGTTGTTTCTTCGAGTGACCCTTGTGATTGTAGTTGTACCATACTGCATCCTCAGGAATAATTCATTTGCCCTTATCTTTTTGGAACTTCCAACCTTTCCTCTTCCTTTGGGACCCTCCTTTTCTTGACTATCCCATTTTTAGGTTTAATCATCAAAACCTGCTTTGGTTTGGTTAAACCCAACTTGGATTTTATATCCTTTTCAACAGTTTTAAGCATGTTATGAAGCTTTGTGAGAGTTTTATCCAAAACCGTTTATATTGTAGTTTGAAAAGAACTAATTATATGATTTGGATAGGGAATTGATAACCGAATCGATTATCAATTCATTTTTCATTAGGAAGCTAAGATGGGCCAATCGGTCAATATATCCTTTCATTTCAAATCGTGGGTACTGACTAAAGAGCCCTCAGTCATTGTACAAGCAAACATTGCCCTGACCATATCAAACCTTTCATGCCTAGCTTGAAACTGAAACATAGACTTTAATAAGGATATCATGTCCCAAGCAATCATGTATTCAAGATTCCGCAATAACTCGGCAATCATGGAGGCTAACATTAGGCAACCAACATCTAGTGAGTCATTGACACACTTATCATAAGAAACCCCGACTTCTGCTGAAGTACTCCTAGCAGGAGTGTTTGGAGGAGGGTTCTCTAGAATGTAAAACTTATTTTCATGCCTAAGGACGATCCTTAGGAAGCAAAACCATTTGATGAAGTTTGTTCCGTTCGATTTTTCCTTATCAAGGATTGACCGCAGTGTAAATTGGGATAAATTTGAATAGTTAGCACACATCTACAAAATCAAGTTTAATTTTAGTAACTTTAAAATCTCAAATTAATTTAATTAACCTTTCAAACATATTTTAACCTGAGCTAAGATCCATATTTCACCAATTTCCATAAATGGCCAATGCATTGTCAATGGAAGTAAGTTATTTAGATAAACATCATATAATTACTTTCAATGTAACTCTTAGGTGTTTGCGGGATTCTATCTAATATATCTTATATTGGAATTGACATATTTAATCTCACTTCAACGCCTTAGATTTACTCATAAATGGCCAATGCAACTGTCTATGATATTTTCAAACAAACTAACTATACTAAGGTATTATGATCCCACCTAAATTATTGACTTAGGTTTACTGGGATCAATCGTCCAAAAGCGACTATTTAAGTAAATGGCCAATGCAATTTTTCACTTAAATCTCGTTATGCTAATGCCTTGTCTCACACTACAATCATCCGGCCAAATTGGCTAGGCTCTGACTATACTAGAATCCGTAAGCCTTGACAAGTATCTTAAATGTGCAGCATTTAATTTACGTTTGTGAAGGGTTTGAATTTTAGAAAACATTTTATTTGCTTTTAAAACCGTTTTGATTTTATCAAAATCAAAAATCGTTTGTTCTAAAAGCTAATTCAAAAGTTAGTTTGATTTTGATAATCATATCAATTTTAAAAATATCGTACTTTATTGCCGATTCTAAAATTTATTTTGCATTCAATTTTATTTTTAAAATAATTATAATTATAACAATAATTGAAAGCAGTAAATAAATAAAATGCGAAAACAAAATAAACAAGCACAACAAAATAATATATGATTTTGCTCCTAATATGATGTTCTGAGCCAACACAATAACCATTGTCAATCTAAGAATGTCTTTAAGTTCTCACTAGCCTCACCATCTTGGTGAACTCTAAGAACTCCGTCGTAACTTCTTGAAACACTGTCTTCGGATGATTACAAATTTAAATAGAAAATACAACATTAATCTATTTTATTTACATTTGTCTCTATCTATAAAATAAAAATAAAATTATAACTCATTGAAATTACACATTTTAATTTTTCAAATAAAATAAAATAATTAAACCACAGATCTTTTCAAGGCAATCGATATATTACATAACTATTTTAACATAAAATATAATGTTTGGCCAAAAATAAATATCATAAATAAAAGGGCCAAATAATATGAACAAATTTTATATGGCAAAATTAAAGCAAATTGACTCAATACTCACTTGTTGGACATTGACTCATGACCCAAACGAAAGAAAACATTTTGGACTCTTTTTACTAGGTCCATGGTCCAATCGATTAGGGCACTAGCCCATCGGGTCGAACTAGCCAGAAAGTCATCCGCACCACCACGAGTTGGTGGTCGGTGCTCAAGAAATTACCACAGTCGAAGCTGGGGAAAAAACGACCACAGTAAAAAATAAGCATCATCAATCCTGGGCATATGGCAGCAGGCCACATCGTAGATCACCCGCTTGGCATAGTGAAAGCGATGACGAATGTGAAACATAAAATCAATCACCGACCACTGGGGAGGTGGCATTGATGAACCAGAAGCAGATCCTATCGAAACACGTTTCACATATGGGAAGCCCACCTACGGTCCAACCAGTGGTCCTAGGTGGTTTGGTAGAAAACAGAGAAATCGACGGTTTTAACAGAGCAAGCAGCAGCTGGCAGGCGACAGATAGAACATCTAATTCCAACCGCCTATGGTGGTGGCTTAGGGCAACTCCAACTTTCACACCAAAAAAACACTAAAAACACCAAATCTGGTGGACCCATAAACAAAAAAAAAAAAACAAAAAAAAAAAAAAAACTCAACTCCAATCACACTCTAAAAAAACACCAAATTTGTGGAACCCACATTAAAATAACATATTTTATTTACTATTTTTAATAACAATATTTATAATTTGTAATAGATATTATAATAATAAATAATTAGTAATTAATTTATTTAATGAAGAAATGTAAAAATAAAAACGATAAAATTGTAATTAATAAATTTTATATTTAAAAAGATTACATTAGTTCAAATAGCACAAATTAAAAAAACACATAAATAATATTAATTCTCCGAGTTAGTATACTCGTCCCACAAATGATCAATTAATGCATTATGAAGTTCAAAGTGAGCATCTTTATCCTTGATCTTTTTGTGTCGAGCAAGAAACTGTTCAAGTCCACCATCGTTCATCATCTCAACTCCCACGTCTTGCACTTCACTTCGTTCTTCAATTGGTGCATTAATATCACGTTCATCTTCTATGATCATATTATGCATAATGATGCACAAAGTCATTATATCATGCAAGATTTCCTTCCTCCATAACCATGCAGGTGCTGCTACTATTGCAAACATTGATTGCAATACGCCAAATGCACATTCTACGTCTTTTCTACATGCTTCTTGTTTCTTTGCAAAATATTGTTTTTTAGGGCCACGTGGATCGTGAATAGATTGAACAAGAGTGACCCATTTTGGATATATGCCATCAGCTAAATAATAACCCATATTATATGATTTTCCTTTAATGACATAATTAGGAGGGGGAGCAGTACCTGCTGCAAGATTTGCAAAAGATGGGAGGACTCCAACACATTAATGTCATTGTTGGACCCCGGTAAACCAAAATATGCATGCCATATCCAAAGATCATAGTCAGCTACAGCTTCAAGAACAATACTTGGAGATCTACTACGACCGAAATATTGTCCTCCTCAACCGGTTGGACAATTCTTCCATTTTCAATGCATACAATCTAGACTACCTAACATTCCTGGAAAACCTCGTTGTTCTCCAACTTGGAGTAGTCGTGCCACATCATTAGCATTAGGTGTTCGGAGATAGCGTTCTCCAAACACCTCCACGATGGCACGACAAAACCGCTTCAAAGCTTCTAAAACCGTCGATTCGCCTATTTTAATGTACTCATCTGTAGCATCTGCAGCCATGCCATATGCCAACATTCGAAATACAGCAGTAACTTTTTGATAATCGGACAACCCAAGTTTGCCGCATCCACCCCTTCGTTGGAGAAAGTAGTTGTCATGACTTTGGACAACATCCAAAATATGAACAAATATGGTACGACTCATTTGGAATCGTCGATGAAACATCAACTCAGGAAATCGAGGATTTTCAGAAAAATAATCATTGAAGAGATTGCGATCGACATTTTCTCGATCACGATTGATAACTATATGGCCATGAATAGAACCACGATAAGATACATGATTGTTTTGAGCATAATTACGGATATAATTATCCATTTCAGACGCTAGATTGAATGCCTCGACCATTAAGAATATAAACTCTTTATCACTAAACCGAACCGTTTGCAACCAATCCTCGACCAAGAAGATCATTGGAAACGAGAATGTCTTGCATTCTAAAAGCTTGCAAAAAAATGCGAGGGTGTATCAATCAAGTTGAAATGAGGAATCCAAGTGGTGCTTCTGAACAAGATATCGTAAATATTTATTGTTTTAGTTGATCATTGTTTTATTAATTTAAATATAACGTGTATTTTTCATAGATGAATGAAGCGAAAGAGCTGTTAAAACTTGATGGATCATATAAGAAGGGTTTTAAGTTTGATCATGTCTGGGACATCTTGAAAGACTCCGAGAGTTTATCAAATGTCATTGCATCAACTCAGTATCAATGACAAAGTCCTTATCAATCACCTTCTTCCAGTCCTGGTTCATCGTCTGGGACAGATGCCGGTTTACCGTCGTTGACTATTCACGATGTAGAAGGTACTCAAAGACCAATTGGTGTGAAAAAGGCAAAATCAAGGCTCCAATATGATAATAAGTTAGATACCTTAGTCAAGGCTAGTAAAAAAATGAGCAAACAAATAGCCAAAACCACTGAAGTTATGATGCGAATGAATGAGCTTCAAGCTCAGAAACTTGCATTAGAGGCAAGGTTGGCGGATGACAAACTTATGTGCATCGATCTAAACTCTATCATTGATCCTGTGTGGTATGAGTTCATAAAAAAAAGAGAAAATTCGAATAGAGAGAGAGAGAGAGCGCAACCCCAGGTTCATATGTCTGGACAAGGATCAGAATTCGTAGCATCTCAATATCGAGTATCTCAACATCAACAATTTGGAGGAGCTCAAGACCAACCCGAAGGATCTCAGAATGTAGCAGAAAGTTTTAGTCAGTTTATGCCTAGCGGAGACGATTGGACCCTTTAATTTATGTATTTCAGTTTTTAAAATTTTCATTAATAAAACATGTTTACGTTTATCCGGTATCATATTTGTGTTATTAATAATTTATTATATATATATATATAAATTTAAATAAATAAATATAAAAACCTAAAACTTAATATTTGTAATTATTTATTTATTTATAATTTATTAAAAAAATTATTTAAGAAAAGGTGGTGGGGACCACCCATTTGGCAAAAATGCCGTTCACCTTCTTCACGGCAAATATGCCGTTCGTTTTCACCCGCCGGCAAAAGTTTAGTGTTTTTGGCGTACGATTGGATCCAAGAGAACGGCAAAACTAGGGTTTTGTCGTTCGATTGGAGTTGCTCTTAGAGTCAATACACAGGGGCCCAAGGTCGGTTGTAAAAAAAAATGGCACTGGTCCTATTTAACCAGCATCAAGATCGGCCCAAAAATCACAGATGAGCGACGAACCCCTAAGGAACTATCTGTCATGGATAGAATCCAAGAGGTAAGTAGCCCCATGGTAAGGAACGACGGCAACAACCGCAACCATAACGACCGTGGCCAATGATTGCCAGCGACGACACAACCTCAGACGATTGTCACTTTGGGAGAGAAAGTGAGATTATGGTCTAGTTTTGGAGAAAAGAACCCACTGTATGACATCAGTCTTAAATTGGCGATAGCTAGTGAAGGCCCGACGAAAGGGAAGCCCCATACGGTTGTTGCTTAGAGAGATAGGTGGTGATGATTAACAAAATAGGGTTTAAAACTCTTTTGTTAACTGGTCAACAAGGCTTTCAACACGGAGGCCCATCAAGAATTTCATGATCCAATTTGATTGAAAATCCAATTAGATTTTAGGGTCCAGTTCAATTTTAGTTTGTCATAAAACAACTGTCCCCTTTTAATTAAATGCTCAAAGTGGCTATAATACCACTGTTGGGTTTTAAAGCAAATTTGTAACCTTTAATGCAGTGGAAAATAAATATTTGGTTACAAATAAATTAGAGAACTGTTTTATCTAAAACTCAATCGGATCCACTGAAACATTTAACTAAAATCACACACCATACGGTGTTCAAGATTGTATCTTTTCAGAATTAGTATAGATCTTGATGAAACACAAGAAACCAATGGAGGTTTCCTCTATCAGTGATCCATACATGAACACCCTCGGATATCTCACCGGGTCCTAGTCCAAGTACCCTAGATCTATATGTGTATTACAGAAAAGAAAAAGTTTATTTTCTGTATAATTTCTAAAAGGATAGGCCATTCTAAATGGTTCAAGCAGTCAGAATTAATTTAGTCTAACACCTTAATTATATGGTATAAATTATATATAGACCTTCATTCAAAAAAGGTCTAGTAATTATCTTTAACATATATATAATAATCTTAAAGCTTAGTATAAGTATACAAATTTACAGATAACACCCTATAATTATCATAATTACGTTTCAACACATATTTTCATAATTACCCTCCAAGACTAATTGTATGCAAAATCAACTTGATTTAATTCAGATTTCTATAAATGGAAGTAAACATATTCTTTGTGTGACACCCTATAAGTTTACATACTCCTCAACAGTATCTATATATGACATGCATCATGGGCATATAATAATTTACAGAAATCATCATCACCAAATTATTGTACAAACAAATTATAAAAAATATATACACCTAATTAAAAGCTTAAAATTCCTTTCATATCAAGAAATCATACTCCGTTATTTGTCACTACTCGCAAAAAATACACCGTCACGCACAAAAACACCATTTATGGTTGTTGGTGATGATATCGATCAAGAACACAATCCATGGTGAAGAAGGCTTATGCTTATACTGTAACACCATTAAAATTGGAGTAAATTTAAACCAAAAGTTGATAGATAAATGATACCTATAAGTATATAAATCACCCAAGATGTGGAAATTACAACCCAAGGGAATAGAATATATAAATAACAACCTACTAGTCTAAACTATTATAAGTTTAGATTATGGATGAGTGTCACTATCTTCATCAAAAGAATCTTGTCAAAATAAAAAGCTAACTAACAAAAGCTATAACTCCCGAAAATATCTCTACTAGCATCCAGTCACTTCGTCCAAGCCTCCGGAGCCACATGGCTAAGATATCATCATATACATGTCATTTTCGAAAAAGTGTTAGGTTTAACACCTAGTAAGTCCAAACAATTTATAAATAATGTGAATAACCAATATGGTAAAAATTTACAAGTTTGATTTATATCCCAAGTTCATATATTTCAAATAAGACCACAAAATCTAAAACATATCTTATGATGGATGGGGAGACCCAATTTCCATGGGTAGTGGCGGAACACAAAGTTAGGCCATAATTCCATGTTGTTGTTGATCCTCTCTCTCTCAATGATTTGATGACGATCTTTTTTATCTTATGAAAAGTAATTTCTTTTCAGTGATCAACACTGATTCTATTCAGTGATCGCTAAACAAGTATTGTATCTCTCAAGAGACAAGTATTCTTCAAGAAGACAAAACTCACACCATAATAACCTTCAGTGATATTGAAGATAAAGCTGAAGATAGAGACAAGCGGTTCGTGATATGATGCGGTTTCAGTGATAACAAGCTCGTCTACAAAAGTGTGAAATCTACTCAAGATTCAACATACACTGAATAAACCTAGTGTTATTCCAGTGTTAGTGATCAAATGAATCTTGTTGATCAAGTTTAGTTTTTGTCTTATCCTCCTACACACAAAGGACAAACCGATACCTCTCAAAGTAAATCACTCGTACGGAGTCACTCTATTGTCTCCAAACGTTCTTACCTGCATTTAATGCTTGCCAAAGGACAAGATCACCTCTAGATTCTTGTCACGTGCCTTGTACTGTCTGACTTGTATTTAATGCATTGGGTATAAATAGCTGAGAAACTCCTTCTTCTCACTAACACTAAGCCAAGAAACTTATATATTGAAGATAAACTTTCTATCCAAGAAGAGACTTTCTCACAAGCACAAACTTCTTAATCTTTTGAAGTTATCTTTACTTCAAGTGAAGAACATCAACTAAGCTCTTCCTTTAGCGAAGTTATTGTTTCTTCTTTTAGCAAGTCTTTTTTTTCTTGTTTTTTGTATCTTGTGTGTTCCCTAGATTGTTTTAGATAAGTTCTATATCTTTTCTTATTCCATAAATAGTCTGTAATTTATGTATTGATCTTCTTTATCAATAAAAGATTTTAAATAGTGAAAATTGTGTGTTTGTATTCATCCTCCCCCTCTTCTACGAACTACTACCTTTAAACTCTTATAGATCTGTTTGGGACCAACAGTTGTAGAGTTCACACTAAGGATCAATAGCCAATGAGTTCTACCAACCGTGATATATAGTTCAAGGCTCCCATGATCCTTGTTAAGCTCATTCGCTAGAAACTACATTCTGCCTCCAAGAGTCTGTACCATAATGCCACTAATAACCCAATGTCTATTTCTAGTTACAAAACGAGAAGACCATCTCGTTTCAATTAAAACCGACTCATATGTTTATGGATCAGTTGTATTACAGTCTAACATATGCCAAAACTTTAAAGTGACCAACTATAATCTCACATATAGTTTTCATCATTCAAATGTCCTCATAAAGTGGTTTTAACACAAAATTTACCAAAATAGGACGAAGTTCTCATAACTCCCAATAAAACATGTTCTTACCCCAAACACAATATCACCATCATCATCTTTTCTAAGAGCTCACAAGCTCAAGAATAATCTTGATCTGGAAGTAATAATACTTGTTTTTTCCAAAATGTAACATTTTCCATGAATATACCTTCAAGTATGTAAAATCAAGGATAAACCTAAATCATGTAGTTCAAGCTTCATAATAACATTTATGTACCAAACACGCATTTTTATAACATATAATTGAAGATTCCACATTTTCTAGTGAAAAGGGTAAAAACCTTAAATCTTCTGAATACCAAAATTGGTCAAAATCCACAAATATGTAAAATACATCAAGGGGAACGTTTTAAGAGACTAAAATGAAGCATTTTGACATGTATAAAGTTTAAAAGGATTAGGATGAACTCACAAACAGGTTTCTAAGAAAACCCTAAAATATGATCAACAATGGTGAAAAGATGGTTGGAGAAGATAAATATTTTGAGCTTCAATCCACTAGTCGTGAACTCTAGATCTAAACCCTTAAATGTTTCTAGAAAAATATTCAATGTTGAGAATTAAATATGGTGGGTTCGAAGATTAAAAGAAAAAAGAAAATAAAGATGAGGTGAGTTGGTGGAGTAGATATAAAAGGCCAAAAGTGTGAAAGGGAAGGAGTGAATGTGATTAGACAAAAAAAAATGTGTATGTGTGTGTGTGAGAAAGAGAGAGAGAGAGAGAGAGAGAGAGAGAGAGAGAGAGATAGAGAAGTGGTTAGGTGAGGAGACAATGAAGAAAAAAGTCAAAAAATTTGGATTAAAAAATACATGCAGGCGACGTGATGCACTCAGATGCAACCGTGGGTCGCGTACACTAGGTCGTGCACGCCCACCCTCAATGCCTAAATTTTAGCAACTTGTTGCCTTTAGTCCGTGGGCATGAAATTTTCTTCACGAGCAAGAAACTTTCATTTATTTTGTGTTTTCTTTTTATAAAAAGTTTACTCAAACACAAACCACTCAAAATTCCAACTAAGGTTTTTTTTCTTTCTAGGATCAATATTTATATGAAACCGAAAAATACACATACCAAAATTCAGGGTGTTACATATACTCCGACCAAGAGCATCATCCATGCATGATAATAGCCATCTCCAACCTCAACAAATCTTCAACTTCTACTCCGACCCTTCCCATTCTGTAAGGACCACAACCCATCTTTGATCTCAACCCCACCGTTGGTTTCCATACTTTTGGGGTACATACGATCACTTGAGAACCTAACAGGATTACAATCGAGAACAAAAAAATCCATTTGGAAACGAAGTTGTTTTTCTTCTAAGTAGAATAAG